ATATCTGTATCAAGAATATTTTACTCTCTAATAATGGTGTTGGCTCACAAAAATCTTTATTAATCAGTCTCTTGTTGCCATTAAAAAAACTCAAAGGATCATGTGGAGCTCCTGAACTGATTTTCAAAGTTTTTGTTGAATGCCAGAAGCAAAGTAAAAAGTACTTTTTACTCTTGTCACTTCATTTCCCCCTTAGATTTCCATTATTGCTACTGAAAAAATAATCTGATGATTAAATGGACGAATCAATATGAAATAAAAAAAGGAAGTAAAATAAACATTTTGAACATAAACACAAACAAACAAAGTCACTCACACATTTATGGTCAGTGGACTGTTCATGACGTCTTGGGAGACCCTCACTGGGTTTTAAAAACATGGCTGCCATCGTAGAAACAGTCTTGTTACCAAAACACAAACTCACTTTGATCTAATGAATGGACACACACACACACACACACACACACCGAACACATGTGTACTTATGAAAGATGAATTGGTGTTCAGGGCGCTGCAGCCGTTGATTGTCTACTATTTCAGGTCGAGGATAAAATGTCGTCTTCTTTCTCATGTCATGAACCCGGCTGTTGCAGCATGTGGTGTCGCCATTACTGTTAACCCCTGGGAGTGGGTGAGAGAGAAAGGGGGGGGAATGAGTCGAGAGAGAGAGAGAGAAGGGTATGTGGAGGATATTTGTGATGTTGCGAGAAAGAAGAAAAGTTGGGACGAGAGAGTTGAAGGACGAGGGAGGGACAGAAAGGAGAAGATGACCTAAAGTCAGATAGAAAGAGAGAGTGGCAGCGGAGGGGAGTCACGGCGGCTGAGTGGGTGACTGAAAGCTGGAAGCGTATCTGAACTCTCGTTAGCCGACAGCTGCAGAGTGACGGAGAGCTTTGCTGGAAGAAGAAGAAGCAGCTGCTGATAGAAGGAAAAAAACAGCAGCGACACCGACAGACGACTCGGCGCACTTCAAGGCCACATGACGGGACAACACGCCAGTGACGAGGATGATTTACGAGCTGCGTCTTACACCGGCTGTAATGAGGCCTGACGTGACACGTGGCTGAAGAGACTT